CCCCATCTCTAAATAGAAAGAAATTAATTGGCCAACTAATATATGTAGAAAAAATATGCCGGGCATGGTGGTGCATGCTGTAGTCCCAGCTACTGGAGGCTGAGGCAGAAGGATTGCTTGAGCCCAGGAGTTTGAGGTTGCTGTGAGCTAGGCTGAGCCACGGCACTCACTCTAGCCTGGCAACAAAGCGAGACTCTGTCTCAAATCAATCAATCAATCAATCATTAAAATGCATGTTGAGTGACAAGATCCAGAAACATGACAGTGTATGTAAATCAAGCAAATACCACCTACTTCGTTTCCACTTCTATATTGTGCAAGCTGAATCCTGCTAGTTCCAAAAAGTAGAATAACTTAGAGTTCTTCTATCATTTAAGGCCACCAGTGAGCCATGCCTGGCAGAGACTGAGCGCTCCTCAAAGAGCAATAAAATCCCCCGTAGATGCTACTGGTCCCCACATTTCCTTCCCTCCGTGCCTCCAGGATATCTTAGTGGTTGCTGGCGTTGCTTCCTTCTCCCTTCCGGTCACGACTTAGTGTCTACCGTGGCCTGCTCTTGACAGAAGAGATTCTTTGCATTCAAAGGACTCCAAAAATCGAAAAAGATGTTCAGATGTTGGGGGGTGTCACTCAGCAAAACTGTCCCAGATCAAATAGGCTGGGCCTGGCTGCATTTCACAGAGATTCTCTACAGTTGCGAATTTCTCCCCATCTACACAGCCTTGTGGCTTTATTCCTGCTTGCCCACTGCCATCTCAAATATCTCAAAGAAATGTATTCGGGATAAAAATATGTCTTATATATCTTTGCCTTAAAACAAAACAAAACACCCTTCAAGATATACAGCCCCTATAATGTGAGTACATGTCAATTATTTCCTAAATAAACTCATAATGTTGATTATGATTTTACCTCCACAGGTGCAAACCAAGGAAGAGAGATGATTACTCTTCTACCCCCCCTGAGAAGATCACGTTAACTATTTCTTCTACTCTCTGTTTTCTGTGTTCAGCTCATCTTATGTCAATTTACTGAGCACCTGAAGGAACTCAGGAAATTTCACCCTGTCAATGGAAAAAAAGCCAAACTCTGTAAAATAATTTTAAAGAGATTTACTCTGACCCAAATCTGAGGACCCTGACCTGGAGCCATGCCCAAGAAGCCTTGAACAAGTGGACTGGCTGTGGCTGGGTTACAGTTTGGTTTTATACATTTCAGGGAGACAGGGGTTACAGGTAAAGTCATAAATCAATACTTGAGAGGCATACATTGGTTTGCCCCCAAAACATGGGCCATACCTCTAAAAGGGGCCTCACAGGTTATAGGTGGGTTTAAAGATTCTTTGACTTGTAGTTGGTTTAAAGACATGAAGCTTTGTCTAAAGTCTTGGAATTTTTTTTTTTTTGAGATAGAGTCTCACTTTGTTGCCCAGGCTAGAGTGAGTACTGTGGCATCAGCCTAGCTCACAGCGACCTCAAACTCCTGGGCTCAAGCAATCCTGCTTCCTCAGCCTCCCGAGTAGCTGGGACTACAGGCATGCGCCACCATGCCCGGCTAATTTTTTTCTATATATATTATTTGGCCAATTAATTTCTTTCTATTTTTATAGTAGAGACAGGGTCTTGCTCAGGCTGGTTTCGAACTCTTGACCTTGAGCAATCCACCTGCCTCAGCCTCCCATGGAATGTTTTAAGATAACGAGGTCTGTTAATCAGAGACAAGCCATCTGACATATATTGGTGGTGTAAATTGCAGACCCACAGGTTTATCTTGCATAGCCTGAGGCCTGTTAATGGGTTACAAAGGATGTCTCCAAGAAGAGAGGGGGGCATGATTAGGAATGTTTGACCTCCCTCCTCTTGGCAGGAAATTTAGTTTTAGGATATCCCTTTGGCCAGGAAGGGGTCCATTCCATCAGCTGGGTTGGGGGGGGTAGGGAGGAGCCTTAAGATTTTATTTTAGTTCACACTTTATTATTTAAGCTAACACTTTTGTAGCAATTCAGAATATTCAGGAGGAGTAGAGCAGGCAATGGCCAATGACTCTGGAGTAGCTCTTATGGGTCTGAATACCCAGAGCAGCGGGACAATGATCCAGAAGTGGCCTTGAGAAGTATGGAGGACACCGCTCCACTATAGGGACAGTAGGAAAAGGGATGGAGGGGCAAGAAGAGCCACCAGATAAGATGTTCCGGCAGGTATGAACAGCTCTTGGCCTATTTCGCTGGCGGGCTCAGAGAGGCATATCTGCCACTAAACTCTGAGCGCCCCTTTTTTGTTTTCTTTTAGTTTTATATCTTTTTTGGGGGGTTACAGTTAGCCAATAGCAAGTTTTCACAAACTTGGGACTACATAGTAGTCCCAAAAGTGACTTCATTTACATGGTAGTCAGCCAATCAGAAGTATGTCCCAGAAGTTACTTCATTTACATGGTAGTCAGCCAATCAGAAGTATGTCCCAAAAGTTACTTCATTTACATAGTAGTCAGCCAATCAGAAGTATGTCCCAAAAGTTACTTCATTTACAGGGTAGTCAGCCAATCAGAAGTATGTCCCAGAAGTTACTTCATTTACATGGAAGTCAGCCAATCAGAAGTATGTCCCAAAAGTTACTTCATTTACATAGTAGCCAGCCAATCAGAAGTATGTCCCAAAAGTGACTTCATTTACAGGGTGGTCAGCCAATCAGAAGTATGTTCCGGCCGGGCGAGGTGGCTCATGCCTGTAATCCTAGCACTCTGGGAGGCCGAGGCGGGCGGATTGCTCGAGGTCAGGTGTTCGAAACCACCCTGAGCAAAAGCGAGACCCCATTTCTA